AGTGTTGACTAACGGTGATAGCATTGGTGATGATGATAGTGATGATAGTTATGATGTTGATGATAGTGACTGTCAGGTGATAGTGTTGACTAACGATGATAGCATTGGTGATGATGATAGTGATGATAGTGATGTTGATGATAGTGACTGTCAGGTGATAGTGTTGACTAACGGTGATAGCACTGGTGATGATGATAGTGATGACAGTTATGATGGAAGAACAGCATAATCCCTTTCCTCTGGGAGATTAAACTCTTTCTCATGTGAAAGTGATAGTATTTTTCCTACCGTCTAACATGGTAGTGGTCATAAACGTTACCTGTTGGGTTTCCAGGGTTAATGACACACAAAGCCCTCGGAACACACTGAGATCTAGCAGCATCAATAGCTCTCTTTAGTTCATCAGTGTCTAGAGCCCAGCTATTGTCTTCATCAAGAAAGTAGTTGATCTGTGCAACAAATGTTCAACAACATTGTATTATTATTACTATAGCAAAGTTGTAGAAGCCCTATGCATTTGAATCCATGCAATGAGTTACTAATAATAGAACATGTCTTCTTTCTTCAATGACATTTTAACACTTGCAATATATCTGAAAGTGAAACATTTTGGATGCAATGATGAATTATGCTCTTTTCTTTTGCAATGGCGCAGGCTTATTTTCCTTTTCCTTCTTCTTTTCTATGTATTTCTTTTGGGCTCTTTACCAATGAATTTAGGTGCCAGCCTGCATATGTACTACTGTTGTACATGTCTGACTAAAGTGTGCTTCAAGAAACACCAGAAAATTCAATACCCTAGCCTTGTTTTTGCGTAGAATAATTATCTGTTCAAGTAAAAAGCTCTGAAATTACAAAGCCTTTGAAGGATTTCATTTGAAGTTGTGCATGTGCATTTTATTACTTACCAATCAGAATTGATGGAAATGGATTTTCACCAAATGAGGGGGGTGGGGGAAGGGGGAAGTGGCTAATAAGAGGTCTATAACAGTGTATAATAACTAATAAATTATATATTATCATTGCAATGGCGGGAATGTATTTAATTTCCTCCTGTGCAATTTGCAAGCTTCATAACGCATTGATGTCATTTCTATGCCACTATTTCAGATCAGATGGATTTTTACCTGATAGGAGTTGAGCTCTGACAAAGATGCTGAGTACAGTGGGTACTGTGGTATTGGTATCATAACACCAGCTCTTTCTTTACCTTGATTCACACTTGTTTGGAGAAGCTTTAGTATTGACTACATGTAAGAAAACAGAATAGAAAATGATTATTACATATAATAAGTCTCCATGCTGTCCAATTAAAAAAAAATTAGGCGAGGAAAATTACTAGAAGTGCCAAAATTGGATAAAGCCATAGGCTTAAGGTGCCTGACTACTTTCAATGTTGATCGATATGATGCGTGCGATGATGTGTGCACGCTCAAAAATAGTTTCTTGATTTTATTGAAGAACGATTTTGAACTTCAAGGGGGCAAAACAAATTTTGCACGGGACTCTATACTTTTTATGAGCTTATTCGAAAAAAACTCCTAAAAATCTAGGTTATATCATTCTTTTAAAAAAAAATTGATTTTTCTAACACATGAAAGAAATAGATTTTTGTAGGGATTTTTGTTCAACTTAATGAATTTTTTGAGAGCACTGAAAGGACGAAATATGACAAATTGATGTGTTTCTTTGTCGTTTTGTCAAAAATATCCACGTATTATTGTAGAATAATACACTAGCAATTGCACTTACACTTTAGTGCAATCTTGGAGTCTGCAAAGAACTTTTATCTTATGAATCTTAATTTTTTTCTGATCACTTCCGGTGGCACAATTTTTGCTCCAAAAACTCTTGAGTAGGCATCTATTAAATGCTGATTATTTTAAAAAACAAGCTCCGGACATCCCATTTTTCTTTTCATATTTGGAATCAGCATTAAATTTCAGGTCAAAAAAGTTTCAATTTTCAATTTTCTGTTTATTTTTTTTGAAAGTAGTCAGCCACCTTAAATCCTAAAAATTTACATTACTATGGATGAGATTTATAGTTGAGAGGTTGTTTCAGGACATCAATAAAATTTAATTAAAATGAAATTTGATGTTTTATTGAAGGAAGCCAAGTCCAGACATCTGGGGTTGTGCATGCATGTTGTATAATAATTACAAATAATAAAAAATTATGAAAATGGGTGTAAAATACACAGATAAGACTTTACCCTAATTCCCTCACTGGCTCCACTGGTAAGGTAGATATCCTTATAATTAGCTGGATAGCCATCCCTGTTTTCAATAAATTTGGCCACATCTTTACGGATAACTTCCAGGCCAGCAGAGTCACTGTATGCACCTATTAAATTGAAAAGAAAAAAAATAATGCCTACTGAAAATGTGCTTACAAACATGGAAAAATTGTCTGCAAATACATTCAAAATGACAATGTTTTGGAATTTTTTATTTTTATTTTTGTATTTGAGAAACACAAACACAAGGTTCCCTTCAAGGTATATTGCACCAATTTCCAACTTCTGTAAAATTCCCACGCCTATCCCACAATGAATTAATTAAAATTTGATTTGTCACTCAGTAAAGTGTGACTTGAGGCACATCATCAAAATTGTAAAAAAAACATTTTTGTCCCTCAAGTATTTTACATAGGAAAAACAGCAAATATTCATCCATCCATTAATCCACCTTTTCTTACTAAAAAGATGGCTAATTTGCATACAAATCACGTGTATAAATGATGCTTTGTGATTGGTTCAAACGAAAGTTAGGACAAAAATCAAATCAACAATCATCAACAAGTGTAAAATCAGAAGAAATGGAAGATTATTCATTTGCAAATTATAGTGTTTATGACTTAAGGAGATATCTGATATCCAAAGGAATAACTGTTGGGAGTTTCAGGAAAACTAGCCTTGTAAAACTAACTGACGCGGCTGTATACTTGGCTTAGAAGACGACATCATTTTTCACTTTTCCCTTTTGAAATTATCAATTCTCAGGCCACCAAATGAAAATAAGCAATGAAGTCATTTCTACTTCACTATTTCTGGTTACCTGGATAGTCATAAGATATAGAGGATATTACACGGTGGCACGAAGATATGAGGTGAAATATTTTTTACCACTCAAAGATAAACTTCCTAAACTTCCTTCAAGCCAACATGTAATTTTCTTTTTATCATATAGACAAATCCACAAAGAAAAACTATTACAACGCACCTCAAGTGTGCCGGAAAACATCACAAGTGATGTCATCAATATCCTCACTAGTGAAGATATAGTTAAAAATTGGTTACTCAGGTCTTGGATGTTGTTTGTACGAAAATATGAGTGCCGTACTGTATTTCCCAGTAAAACACTCATGTCTATGTAATAAATAGAGGATATTACATGGGCGCGCGGAGATACGAAATTTATCTTCGAGTGTTGAAAAGATCTCTCACGAGTGAGCGGCGCTCACTCGTGAGAGATTTTCAACACGAGAAGATAAAATTCCTATCTCCAAAGCGGCCATGTAATATTCTGTTTATTACATAATTATCAATGAAGTATGTTTTGGCTTTTTCAGGCAATTCTTTCCGTGTACTTTTGAATAGCCATCGCAATGGTGTTATCTTCACACGTGAAAATAACATGTTATTTTCACGTGTGAAGATATCAATTTTTCGAAATAGAGAAAAATAGATATTTCATTGGTAATTATATAATAAATAGAGGATATTACATGGGCCCGCGGAAATACGAAATTTATCTTCGAGTGTTGAAAAGATCTCTCACAAGTGAGCGCAGCGAAC